CAAACCAATGTTACCTTAACTTAAAAATATACAAAAAACCTTAGTGTTGTATAAGAATATAAGATGTCAAAATTTTTAGATTTTAAATAGACATCCCCCTTTTGGAACCCAAATAAAGGAAGCTGTGATGTGTCTACCAAAATATGAACTTGAAGTGGAACAGGTAAATATTTTCTGATTTTTAGATATATTTTTTAAAGATTTATTTATTTATGCATACAGAACTCGGGTATAGGCCAGAGGTGCAGGGGAAGTGAGAGGCTTCACCAGAGACAGAATAGGGGGCAGAACAGGCAGATTGACAAAGTACACTGCTGGGTCAGGAGAGGTCTGCTGTGCCATGTGGATCACCTCTGGGATGGGGATCGAACTCATGCTAACATAGCTTTAGCTTCTTAGTACTGTGCTTATTTAACCCGCTGCGCCACCAAGGAGGGCCAATTTTTAGTTATTTTATTTTTCTTTTAAGATTTATTTATTTGTGCATACAGAACTGGGGTACAGGCCAGAGATGCAGGGGCAGTGAGAGGATTCACCAGAGACAGAGCAGGGAGCAGAACAGACCAACTGACGAAGTACACTACTGAGGGGAGAAGTGGGTGGGCCAGGAGAGGACTGCCGCGCCATGTGGTCACCTCCAGGGCCGGTGGGGATCAAACTCATGCTGAAGTGGCTTTAGCTTCTTAGTGCTATGCTTTAACCCGCTGTGCCACCAATTTTTAGATTTTTTAATGGACTTTTCAATAACAAAATTATTCATGACTGACTTGAAACTGAGTATGAATAGTTATTTTTAAAAACTTTTTATGCCTGTCTTTTTTTTAAAGATTGCAAGATACAATGATACGATGGCAGAAATAATAGTGACCATTATATTAAGAAACTTTGAACAGCTACAAACTAAAAGAACAGCTCCAGATTGTCACTATGTCACCTTAATCATAGGTGATGCAGATAACCAACTGGTTTTTAAGCACAAAATTATGTAAGTGTAAAATATCTGAGATTTTAATTCATATGTAAGTATATACTATAAAGAAAAATTTCCACTGAAAAAAAGTGATAAAATGATTGTGGAACACATTGTTACTCTTTCCTCCCTCTGTAATGGGGTAGTTTCTCTGTTTTGCTAGCATTGGATTTGTTGTTTTAGGTTGTTATGTTTAGTACTCAGTAGAATAAAATGTACAGTCTTATCACTAGGACCTGAAACAAGTGAACAGATAACTTTTAGGAGTAGCTGTAGTCCACTGTTGCCCAACTTTCTTAATTGTGTTGGTTTTGTCCAGTCATTTGTGACATAACTGCTTTCCCAGTGCAATCTTCCTCCTAACCCAAAATGCGCTTTCATTTACAAATAAAAATCTAGTAAAGTTCCATAACTCCATTCTGGGGTCCTGGCAAACAAATTCAATATATAAAAGAGGCTTCTTTCCTTCCTTTCAGGGATTCCGTTTTGTTAAAAGATGGAAACTGGGCTAAAAAGATTGATGTGAAGAGAGCTCTTAAGTCTGAAGATCTTAGTATAAATCTAATTAGTTCTGAATATGGTAAGTTAATTGAAGTACTGAAGACATGACTGTAAAGAGCATGATAGAATTTAAAAAATATCTCCCTTGTACTGAACCAGAAAAACTGTATAAAATGTAAAAAAAAAAAATCTATTTAATATGAGTAATTTTAAAGGCAGTTTCATGTATTTAGAAATAGAAACCATAGTAGCACTGGGAAACCACATTAAAATTTTATTTGCTCATTTGTAGATATTTTATTTTCCAGCATAGTTAAATGTCAATTTTTGTAGGACTATTGATTTTTGTTTTTGTGATAATAGAATAAATGATTCTTATTTTAAAACTTTTTTGTATCTTCATTTCCTAGAGTTGGTAGCTATAAAATTATAAGAGAGCTAAAAACAAATAGTCTCAAGTATAGATTTGAATGATTTAAGTAAACAATTTCATACTTTTTTCCTCTTTTTTACAGTTGGATTTGATATTCAGCAAAAATTTACAGTCTATTACTTAGGACCCAAGAGGTTTGGAAATCAAATAATTTTGAAAAAAAAAGCAGAAGCAGTGATTTCCTGTTCTAAGTATTCAGATAGGCTTGATACAGCAGGGTCCAGTAAAGGTAAATAGCTGTATTTATTCCTATTTTGCATTAAACTGAAAATCTGTCTAGGATCAGTGTTACAGTACTGCTTTGAGGTTGCATATAGTCTGGAGTTAGATATTTCATAATAATTGCATTAATTCTCTCTTATGGTTAATATTTGTTGGTTGGTTGATATTTGGAGACCAAGTTTGATTAGTCTATTAATGGTCATTTTTCTTTTCTCATACTCATTCCATTCTAATGGCCATTGTCAGTGGGAGAGTAAGTTATATACAAAAACATGCAGATTTAATGTGATAAATCAGGTGACAACAAACTTAAAAAATTGTTTTATTCTAGAAATTCTGAAACATACAGGAAGGTAGACAGAAGAGTATAATGAACTATTGTTCATTATACCTGCCTTAAGCAATTATCGACTCATAGCTAATAGTTTCACCTATACCTTTCTGAAAATCAGGTGTCATGTTATTTCCTCTGTAAATGTTTCACTAAATATATGTAAATGTTAAGGTCTTAAGAAAAAATATATTACACAAAACCAATAATAACTAATAACTAAATCAGCCAACATTTAGTCAATGAGAAAAATTATCTCAAATTTTACTGATACATCATCTTCATACCATCTAAATATATCAAATTGATTCTGTAGTCCTTTTGACACATTCCTAGTAGTTTTGACAGTTCTTTGCAATGTGAGGAATATTGCATATTCCATGCAATGTTCTAGGCTTATCTTATAAATTTTTAGTCCTAACCTTTCCTTCAAGATTCCTTGGTTTCTTTGAAAGATAGTTTTCTAAGATTACAATCTGTTTGCTAGAGGAACACATTAACATTAAGTAATTGTGTATATATTTCAATTTTTTCATATTCAGAGTTAGAAGATATGTGATTTCTTGGTCTCAAAAATAAAATGCATAATTAATTCATACTTAAATCTCCCAATCAAATTTAGGGTGGCTTTATTTATCTTTAAACTCAGTTATCCTGTATCTCCTTTCTATTATGTTGAGAAATTTAGTTTTCATGGTCCCTAACATAATAAAATATAACCAATTTTCTTTATCCCAATGATACATAGAAAATTAGTCACAGAGTAACACCACCAAACTGCAGCTCTTCATATGAGTTTTAAGATTTCTTATGAATATTTCTGTTCTTAAAATATATCTCATGAGGCATACAGTACATGAACACTTTGAAGTATATATGTATTTAAATAAGAGTTAAAAATCATTCTGCTTTTCTCTAATACTCTTGAGTGGATATGTGGAGTACAACGTCAATGTGATTCTTCTCTTGATTAAGTAGAAAAATGATAATATTTGACAAAAACATTTAAAGGAGACATTGTCATATAAAAAGTAAAATAAAGTACCTTTTAAAAGTAAAATCAAAGCATATAGATCTCTGATTAGTATAAATTAAGAACTGTAAAGGCAAAGTAATATACTTTTAGAAATATTATCTCTAGTAGCTTAGCACCAAATTATTTGAATTTATAATTCAGTTTGAGGTTAAGTGTCTCAGGATGCCTGTTCTTTTTTTTCCTGGCTTTTAAATAAGTACCTTATTATTGACTCTGTTAAATAATTTTATTTATTGACTCAGTTAAATAATTTTAAATATTTTCTTTAAATTTCTAGTTGGCATGATTAAAACACTTATTTTATATTAAATTCTTTGAACCAGGAACTTTAAAAGCATGTAGATTAGTATAATAAAACTATGAAAATACATATTTCAAATTTTAATAGTGATGGATTATAAGATCTGTTAACTTTAAGGTTTAAGGTATACCTAAAAATTTTGCTTCAGTCAGTTTTCTCCAATTCCTCCATTTTTTTCAATGATAAATCTCTGAAAAACTTGTTTTTTAGTAAGACACATTCAGACAAGGATCAGTATATAGGGAGTGGGAGATAAATAAAAATAAAATACCCATTTTCTAAAGTACCATTTCTAACAGATATACAGTAAAAATATTGTATTGCTTAAGTTATATCCACATGATAATCTTGTATACACTTCTCATAACTGACAACACTTGCCAACATTGCCTTGAAATTCTACAATTAGAATTCAAATCCTAATATAGTTTTCATCACTGGTAACACGTGTATAATCGTTGTGCACCATCTTGTGGTAATATCTAGAAGCACATCTATTAGAAGTACTTGCATTAAGAAACAAACCAGTTTCCTTATTTTTTATCAAACAGTAATCTGCAAGGCATTTCTTCCTCCTCATTCCACCTCAAATTAGAACATTCCTAGCATACATTAACTACATGAATTACTTGGTGGGGGGGAACTAAGGTAGTATAACCAGAGAGTCAGGGTAATTGAAAAAGCAGACTCTGAAATTAGACTGACTGCGCTAAAAATCTCAAATTTATACTTATCTGCATAATCTTGAACCTGTTATTTAACATCTGTGTGGATTAAATTTCTCTCCTGTGAATGGAGCTATAACTGTACTGTCTTATTAAAGGCTGTCAGCCAAGAGTGGATATTTGAGGAAAATCTGAAACAAACAAAAAAGAGTTTCTAAGAAAACAGAAAATGAAGGGAACAACAACAGGGTATTTCAGAAATGTAATAATATTTAATGTGAACTAATTAGTGACCTCAGATAGATTAAAGATTAAATTGTAATTATTAAACAGGATAGGATACTATCAAATACAGAATAATTATAGAACATAAGCAAGCAAGGAAAAATAAAAACAGGAAAAAGCAAATTAGTTTAGCTGGAGGGATAAGAAGATAAAGTCATTAAATGCTGAGTAAAAACAAAAGAACAAGAAGGAATAAAAATATAAGAGGCAAAGGGGACAATTTACAAATCTGATTGCTGACTAATACTGTTACAGAAACAGAAAACTAACCAGAATGTGTAATTTGAAAAGTTTTCTAGACTTAAAATGAGACCTAAATAGGTACATTTAAAAAGCTTACTTAGGGCCCTCCTTTGGCGCAGCATTGCAAGCCAGCTGCAGCTGCTTCAGTGAGTGTTAGATCCCTCACCCCAGAGGTGACCCACGTGGTGAAGCAGACCTCTCCTGACCACCCCGCTGCTCTTCTCAGCAGTATACTTCCTCCATCTGCCTGTTCTGCTTCCCACTCTGTCTCTGGTGACTCCTCTCACTCCCTTGCACTTCTGGCCTGCACCCCAGTTCTGTATGAATGAATGAACAAATAAATAAATAAATAAATCTTAAAAAAAAAAAAAGCTTACTTAATGGTAGATAGGAGTAATGGAAGAACATCTACAAAGGAGGCATAATTGCAACATTGCAAAATATCATAGATAAGGAGAAAATTATAAATGCTTCCAAGAAACAAAAACTGAAGTTGCATTGGTTTTTTTTGGGTAACCAATAACACTAGGTCCTAGTAGACAATGGACTTAAAGTCCAGTGGGGGAATGATTTTGAACCCTGTGTTCTATATCCAGCCAAACTGTTAATCAAATGGGAAAGTATAATATAGGTATCTTAAAAGGCTCAAGGAAGTTTGTCATGTACTTGCTTAAGGATAAACAAATAAGAACAAAGCAGTTAACCAAGAAAGAAAAAGAATCCAGGAGTAGTGGGCTTAGTTCAGGAGCTTAATGAAAGTGTGTTCCCAGATGACAAGTAAACAATAGGAATCTGCATTATGAGAAGACTGGGAGGCTCCCTGAAGGAGGGGTCTGTGAGGGGGAATAAGTGGATGAGGCATTTCAAGATATCATCTTCATTTTTGAAATACTAAAGAAATGTAAGGGAGATATTGCTAGACTAAAAGTAAAGTAGTAAAACTTGTTGAAAAATCATATGCTGCTCAAGTAGGAAAAACATACTACTTGGTTCTGATTTTAAAATATTTTTACCTACTTTCTGTATTTCTCAAATGAATCCATTCTCTGTGACTCTATTACTATCACCACTCCGCACTGAGTTACCATCATTTCCTTGCCTAGGCTCCTGAAGCAGCCTCTTGATAGTTTTTCCTGCATTTGTCCTCTCTCAAATCCATTTTCCATATTGAGAATGTAGTAGTAGAAAGTTTTATACTATATAAATTGATTTCTTTCAAAACACAATATTGATTATGAGCCTTGTTTTGGTTAAAACAGAGGAGTGGATCCCTATTGCTCTTAGATTTAAAAGTCAAATCATGAACATCTCTTACAAGTTTCCATACTGTCAGTTGGTCATTCTGTCCTGAAGCAGCAGTGGGATGGCAGCTTCTCACTTCCATAAAATTGGCTGATAAAGATACAAGAGGCCCAAATGAATTTAGGTAGTTTATTACTTATCCACACTACTTAGCAAGGTCAGCATGGTATCAGCTGCTTTATCCCTAATCCTTCAGCATGACACTCAACTTCAGGGGCTAGATGATATGTGTGGGTTTTTTTTTTTTTTTTTGAGATGTCTAAGTGGCAGCTAGTTGGTTTTATAGCCAGCAGTTGCATGTGAAAGGGATAAGGTGATATGTCCTGTGTCTTATGGTAGCCAGAGAGACAGGTCAGAATTTGCCTTGTAAGCAACCTTATGAAGATAGGAAGCCCCCTGAAGCTGAGACAGGTAAGAAGTGGCCTTTAACAGCCTTGACATGTGCCAAGAAAAATCAGGGCATTCCATAAATAGTTGGGCCTGTCTGGCAGAATGCAATTGCTAGATTCCGATGATGGAGCTTTCCCCTGCAAACATAGACCTTTCTACCTCTACATTCTCATGTGCACTCCCTCAAACACTATTTCTCGTATCTCTTTGCCTTGTTAACTTTCACTGTTCTTCAATCCTTAGACATTGCAACCATCACTTCTTTAGGGAAGTCTTCCAAGACATTCCTGACCAAGGTAGTTCCCTACCAATGCTGTTATATAGTACTGTGCCTCTCCTTCATAGCACTCAAAACAGTACTAATTATTTGACTGCTACATGTGTAATATCTAATTAATGTGATACAGATGATATATATGCTAAGAAATTAATTGCTTAATTTTAAAGTGTTTTCACCTACTTAATTTCATTTTCTTTTCATCTTTATAAGGTAAACAGAATAGATAACTAATTTTAATCTGTTTTTCACAGATTAAGAGCCCATGCTTGAACTTGTTTTATTTTTTTTCTTTATTTTCATTTTTGCATAGAATAACTGGGATATAGGCTAGAGGTACGGGGGTTAGAGAATTCACCAGACACAGAGTAGAGAGCAGAACAGGCAGATTTACTGAAATACACTGTTACAGGGAGAGGTGGATGCGATAAGAGAGATCTGCTGCACCATATGTGGGTCAGCTCCCTGGCTGGTTGTCTATTCAGGCCATAGAGATAATGGTGCTAAGACTTAACCCCTAGGCCATCAAGAAGACCCTGAATTTGGCGTTTTCTTATTTTAGTTTAGGGTGCTCTGTATTTCACCACAGTGTTTTCCATGTAATACATTAAATATAAGGCAGCATTCAGGAAACTTAGAAGGATAAAGAAAATTCCTACATTTTCTAAGAAGAAAGAAATTACCTCCAGATGGGGTGATCAAGATAGAACTCCATAAAGAGTCAGCCTTGAAAGTTGGTAGCTTCTGATAGACAAAAATGTGAAACATTTTTAATACAAGAAATATCAAAGATACAGTTTTAGAAAGCTTGGGGTTATTTGAATATTGCAAACGTTTAAATATGTTTTGATGCATAGAAGGTTAATATGGGTGCTAGCAAAGGAGGTCAGAATTACATTGTGGAAGATCTTGAATATAGAATCAATTTTGTTGGCATCAAAAAATGACATTTCTAAGTGTGCATATGATGTGATCAGTGTTAAACTTTGGAGAATTAATGAATTAATCAGTAGTATTTAGAATAAACTGTAGTATGGTAGAACTGGATTCAAAGAAACTAGGTAACTGAAATTGATGACAGCATGATTTGGGGCAAAAGTTCTTAACCAAGTAGCATGACACACCTTGCAGAGCATAGCATCCAAATTTTCATTCAGAAATCACTGGAAACACACCTATATTTGAGGAAAATTACAACAGCAGAGGAGAGTATTACATTGACAGAAATGGGTCATCTGAAATCAGAAGGGGGAACATAAACGACTTCAGCTTGTGTTGGATTCTTCTTAGGGGTTTTAGGGAAAACAGGTTAATTCTAGGTTGCATACTTTTAGCAAGTGGGGTATTAAGATATTTTGGTGTATCTTACCTTGGAGATGGGAGGAGTAAAGAAATAGTAATCATTTGTGTTAGCCAGAAGAGGGGGATATTTAGTTATTTTTGTGGTTATTGAGTGTCCTTATCTCTAGATTCAGAAATAATAACATAAGTAATCTTATCTCTATATTCTGTATATTCTGAATATTATGTAGTTTTCTGTCAAAAGTTGTTTATGTCCATTGGGAACACCATTATTCATCTGTCAGCTTCCAGCTGCTAGGGATGCTATATGACTTGTGTCCAGTACATAGATCTGCATAGCCCTCAAGGTTTCTAGCCAGCTGTCTCACATCCAAATGAACCATGCATTGGAAAAGTTTGATTGAGCAGTGGCACTGAAAATACAGAGTAAAAAAGACCAAGAAATGTTATGAAGATTTTCAAAGCTCTTCACTATTTGTGAAATTTCTAGTTCACTCTTTGCTTCAGCAAAAAATAAACTGAATTTCATTTCTATAGTTTGTGGTTTGCCAGACATCTTCCCTCTGATCTCCTTTTCACGTTCAAATTCTGTTTGTCCTTGAAGGACCAGTTCAAATGTCTTTCTCTTCCCTTATGTAACTAGTGAGAGCTAACATTAAAAAAAAAAATCCTACTTAAAACAAGTAGAAAGTTAATTATATATTCAGGTATATTATCGCTTAGGGAGTCAAACTGAAAGCCATCTCTTTTCTATGAAGTCAAACAACAAATTTTTTATATCCCTAAAGCATTTATTTCTAGCATGTATTAAATATGTATGTTATTCTATCTAGTAGCAGCTGTCAGTGACACTACCAGAATGCCATGAGGTTTGCTTCTTTGCAAATTATAGGCCTTGTAAAAAGCAGTGGAATAGTTTTTTTTTTTTTTAATCATCTACTCTTATTTTGAACTCAGTCAGAATAAGAATTACTGATATCTGCAATATGTGGCTCAATTTATACCACGGAGAATGAGGGAAACTTAGTGGTGGCCCTCATGTTCCTGTGAGAGCTGGGATAGGGCCAGCGGTGGGGCAGGAATAACTGTTACCAGAAATATCTTTTTTAAAAGTACAAATTAAACAGGTTAAAGTATAGAAGAATAAAATCATATTCTTTTTGTATTGTCTGAAACAAAAGAGACTGTGATATGAATTACATTAAATTCATTCATAATAATAGATAACATAAAAAATAAGCTTATTCTTATATTAATTTAGGAATGATGGCCTGCAAAAAACCTGGGAACCGAGAGTGCAATCATCACTGCAAAAATAAGCATACATGTGGACATGACTGCTGTGAGTTTCATAAAATATTTCAAGTTTTAAAAAGCAGAAAGGGGGCCCTCCCTGGTTAAAGGGCAGCCCTTTGAAGCTGTCACAACCACTGCAGCATGAGTTCGATCCCTGGTCTGGGAGGTGACCCACATGGCACAGCAGACCTCTCCTGACCGGTCTGCTGCTCCCTTTAGCAGTGTACTTTGTTAGTCTGCCTGTTTTGCCTTCTGTTCCTCACTCTGTCTCTAGTGAATCCTCTCACCCCCACACCTCTGGTCTGTACCCCAGTTATATATTTAAAAAAAAAAGTGGATAGGTCTTTGATGAATAGTAATGACATCCTAATTATTTATGTATGGTATTTATAAATTTTATAGCTAATAATTTGTTTTGTGGGCAGCATGAAAAAAAGTAAATATTAGATTTTAAGATTTGAAAAAATTTAGCTTTAGACAAACCTAAAGAATCTAACATTTCTTTTCATAGGTAAAATTGGAGTTGCACAGAAGCCAGAAATGAAAGAGTCAACAATTTCCTCATATTTATCTGATTTAAGAAACAGGAATGCTTCTTCATCTCTTCCTCCAGTTAAACGCCTCAAGGTTGGTTTTAATAACAGTTGTCGCTTGTTCTGTAATTAAATATATATTGATATTCTTCTGTTCTATCAGTTAGATATGTAACCAGGTTATACTCTAGAGTCATTTGTGGGCTTACTGAGGAACGTGACCATTACTCATAACATTGTTTCTAAAGGAAAAGGTTTTTCAGTTCTTAATAATCATCTATAAATCCATTTTTGAACATTGTTATATAGCTCCTTATTAGCCTTTTTTATTATTATTTAAGCCCAAGAAGAAGAAAATGGATAGAGAAATATAATAACTTAAAATTCACAGTTGAAACTAGACACTCTTCACCTTTCCTGACGTTGTGCTGGGCTAGGCTGAAAAATCTGAAACTGTTTTTGATTTGTGCACTTAGATGAGTATTTAGCATTGAGAGCCTCCTTTCCAAGTAAAGAAGGAATGGTAATTCCTGCTTCTTGGTAGGCTAATCAGCAAACTTATTCTAAGTCATCCTATCCAGGGCAAAATAATTGACTGGGTCATAGAACAGAGTTAAAAAAAAAAAACTGGCCAAATTTGTGTATCTTTAAGGATGAAAATTGTAAACTATGAGTTTAAAATGGAATATTGAGAAACAGGAGATGTACTGCCTTATTTGAGATAATTTTTTAGTAACAGAAATTTTTTCTTCCTTCCTTTTCTTTCATATGTATTCCATATTCTTCTTTTCTTTCATATTCATTGAACACCAAGAATATTACAAGTACTATGATTGGTAAAATACAGTGATAAGTAAGTCAGTTTTAATACTAATCTTCATAGAATTTATAGTTTGGGAAATCATACCAGATTTTTAAGTAAATAGGCTTTCAACGTAGTATGATGACTGAGTGACATAAGTGTAAAATAATTGTCATTAGTTAGAAAGTATACTCAATCCACACTTGATGGGCCAGGAAACAATGCCAGAAAAAAATATTATTGAGACCTGAAGGATGTAAAAGCAGAAAGCCAAGTATGGAGAGGTGAACACCAAAGTGGTGGTGGAGAGGGATGGAAAAATAGTTCAAAAACAGAAAATGTACAGAGGTATAGAAGTGAGAAAAAGTGAGATACTTTTTAAAAACTGAAGTAATATAGTATACTGGAAGTCATTTACATATGGGAGAGTAGAGAAAGACAGAGGCTGAAGAGATGAGTAAGTGCTAGATCACATGCATTTTTGCTATTTTAAGATTTGGACTTTATCCAAATCTCTCTGTGGAAACCACTGAAGAGCTTTAATCAGTAGTATGATCATGGTTTTATTTTACAAAGTTCACTGTGGATACAATATAGAGCATAGATTAGAGGATGATAGAACAGGGACCCAATACTTGTCTTGACTAGTGCAGTAGAGAAGTGAATGTGTTTAAAATATTTTTCAGAGATAGAATCAACTACCTTAGTTGTATTTAATACCTTAGTTAGTATTTAATTGATTAGGAGGGGCAAATAGAAGAAGCTTTCTGACTTGAGCAATTGGAGAATAAGTGGGACCTTAGTAGGAACACTAAAGGAAAGACAAGTTTGGAGGAATAGAGCCACAGTAAGTTCATCTTGGAATTACTGAATTTAGAGGCCAACAAAGTATCTAATTAAAGATATTCTACAGAAAGTTAGCTATAACTATGGGAAAACCAGGAGAGAGTTGAGCTAGATACATGATTTGAGAGTTTTCCCCATATAGATGGTGCAAGCCATGGAAGTAAATGAAATCATTGATTGCGAATGTAAAGTGAGAGAAGGGAAGAAGGTCTAGCAGAGAACCATGAAGAATGTCAACTTTTTGGAAGGACCTAAGAAGAACATTTGAGTTGAGAAGCTTGAGTTTCTCCTAAGTCATTGGCTTTTCAACTTTTGTATACCAGCAGAAATTTTACTGTTTGACTCATTTGTTAAAATATTTTCATATGAAATTGATAGTTGAACTTGTGTTTTCTTTCACTAATAGATGCAGATGAATAAATCTCAAAGTATGAACCTTAAAGAATTTGGTTTTACTCCAAAACCTTCTCTTCCCAGTATATCAAGGTACAACTTTACTGTTAATATCTATTATAGTCATCATAAACTCGCTGTTCCTCCAAATAATCATTTATTCAGTAAAAGGTAGTCACTGGTTACCTTCAAATCACTTAGTAATCATTTAGTTCCATAGTGAGTAATGATGTCATAAGACTTTCATTATGATTTATAGCCTAAATTTGCTTAAAACTATATATAGAATATATTGACATACACTGAATTTCCTCTTTTCTATTAAATTATCCATTTTAAAGAATATGTCATGTCCTCAGACTCCCTGCCTTCTAAATTTAACATATGATAAGAGTATTCTTTAAAAAAGAGGTCATAATTACCGGATGGTTTCACTCATAGCAGGAGTATAATGGACCAGGCGAGAAAATAACAAAAATAATGAACAACCATATACCAGAGACATTCTGTGGGGGCGGAGTGGGGAATGGGATCAAAAATGGGGTGGGGGGGGAAGGGAGGGAAATGCACGGGACTATGGTGGTGGCACAGTGGTGATTTGGTGATGGGAAACCCGCGGGGATTACAATCGAGATGGAAAAAAAAAATGTGCAAAATGATGTAAAAATAAACTTTGTAATAAAAATAAAAATAAAAAAAAGAGGTCATATTGTTATACAAAATCTAATCTTTTCTGGGCCCTCCCTGATGCACAATGAGTTAAAGCACATTGCACCATGAAGCTCTCTGCAGCCTCTTCAGTAGAGTTATATCTCCTGCCAGGGAGGTGACACACATGGCGTGGTAGACCTCTCCTGACCCTCCTGCTGAGTCCTGACCCACTTGCTGCTCCCCTCAGCAGTGTAGTTCTTTGATCTGCCTGTTCTGCTTCCTACTCTGCTCCTGGTGAATCCTCTATAGAACTCTATGCATCTCTGGCCTATACCACAGTTCTGTATGCATTAATAAATAAATCTTTTTTAAAAAAATCAAATCTTTTCCATTTAGCACCCCATTCTATATTAACTCCTAGGATTTAAAAAATATTTTGTAATTTAAGATTGTATTTTGTCAATTGGAAAAACATGGAAGCAGCCCAAATGGCCAAATGTAGATGACTGGATTAAAAAAATGTGGTACATATATACACAATGGAATATTACTTAGCAACCAAAAAAAAAGAAACACATGTCTTTTGCAACAACTTGGATGGAGCTGGAAAAGATCATGCTTAGTGAGATAAGCCAGAAAGAGAAAGAAAAATACTAGATGGTTCCGCTCATAGCCGAAGTATAATGGACCAGGCAAGAAAATAATAAGAATAATGAACAGCCATATACCAGAGACATTTTGTGGGGGTGGAGTGGGGAATGGGATCAAAAACGGGCGCAGGGGCTAAAGTGCACAGGACTATGGTGATGGCACATGGGTGACTCGGTGATGGGAAACCCACAGGGATTACAATTGAGATGGAAAGAAAAAATGTACAAAATGATGTAAAAGTAAACTATTATATTATTAAAAAAATTGTATTTTGTGCATTTTATCTTTGACCTTAGTAGCAACCTGGCTCATAAAATGATATTATTAATCCCATTTTATAGATGAAATAACCAAAGCTCATATTTCTAGTTAGTAAGTAGAAGGCCCTGGATGTTAACTCAGCATTATTTCCTAAATCTTTATGCATAGAAGACAAAAGTATATAATTTCCCCTCCAGGAAAGGCACTCTCTATGCAGAGATCACAATTAATATGCTTAAAAACCAGTATAGAACAGATCCTAACTAATCAGAACAGATGCTAACACTACTTTAAGAGATCCTAGCTGTTGTTATCTAACTGAAAATAGCTTTGGTAATATATTTTTAAGATTAAATATGGATAGCATGGTATCTACATATTGGGGACATATAAAAAAACTTAAGTATTGGCCCTGCCTGGTGGCGCAGCGGGTTAAAGCGCTGCACTGAGAAGCTAAAGCCACTTTCACATGAGTTCAATTCTCGCCTGCCCCAGAGGTGACCACATGGTGCGGCAGACCTCTCCTGACCCGCCCGCTGCTCCCCTCAGTAGTGTACTTCGTAGATCTGCCTGTTCTGCTCCCCACTCTGTCTCTGGTGAAGCCGCCCCTGAGCCTTGGGCCTGTCCCCCCGTTCTGTATGTACAAATAAAATAAATCTTAAAAAAAAAACAAAAAACTTAAGTATCTGCCACTTCCATTAAACACCTACTTTTTACCTATTCAAACTGATACCATTTATCATAGAAGTGTTGAGTGGATAAAGCATAGAATTTTTTTTTCATTTATATGATTAAGTAGTTTTCAAAGGTAGATTATTTTTAATATTTTCTTTGATATTTTAATGGTTGGATTTATCTTTATAAAGGTCAGAATCCTTAAACATGCCTGAATTACCTATAAGGGAGCAGAGGGATCAGCATGATCATGCAGAAGTTCAACAAGAACAATATGAATATCAAGACAAAGGTAAATTGCCATTGAAACTGACTTGAGAAAAAATGTGATTTATCATTACTTCAGATTGACAAGTAATGTTATTGAAAAACCACCATATTAAGTTATATGATTATTAACTTGGCAACATTTTTCTCTTGGGGTTTTTGAACCAACTTCAAATTCTGAAGTCTGTTATTTCAGAAGGTCTTTATGTCTGTCACAGTTGTTTGAAAATCTCTTCCCTACGTAGCGTTGACTATTTTAATTTAAAGATAATATGAGGAAAAGCTGAGAACATAAGCAATTTTTGGATATACAGATTTTAATACAGGTATTGAAATGCAGAACTATTATGTGTATTTAGAATTCTTTAAAACAATTTATAAAATTAACTGAATTTTATAAATAACCTGTGTAACCTTAGGGAAATTATTTAACCTCTTTGGGCCTTAGTTTTATCTTTAAAATTAAAGGATTAAATTTAGAGAGCTTTTACCACCCCACTTCTCAAACCAATTATTCTTATAATTTCCATGATAAAATGAAAATATAACCTAATTTGTACAATAGAGCTGGTATAAAATTTATCTTTACTTTCTAATCTATGTCTGTCATTAAATTAATGAGATAGTGCAGATAAGTTCTTCAGCCTTCTTATTGTACCTGGTTCATCATTATGGATCCTGCTATTAGTGGCATCATTTCCCTGGCTCATACTATTAATACTACTAATAGCCGGTCTGTTAGAACATGTGAAAAAAAATCGTAGTCATAGAGTTGTCTGCTCAAGGGATTGTGTTAAAAATGGCAAATTTAAGATTTCCTGAAAACAATTTGTTTTGTGGTCTTGGCCTCTATGGCCATTCTTTCCTTCATGCTGTAAATTTAGCCTCCTCTAGCCATAACTTAAAATCTTAGGAAGGCAATAATTGGGGTACCACCACCCGTTATCACACCAAGGTAGCATTAGACCTCTATTCTCACCTTAAGTATCAGAGTATTTACCTAATTTGTTCAAGGTCTGAATATCATTGTTACATGTTAGAAGGTATGATTATAAATTCTTTTTATTTTTTTCTCATTGCTATCTATAGCCTTCTACCTTATTCCCTCCTTGTATTGCTGTTTCATTCTTTTCCCTTCTCTGTTTACTTTCATTTTGTCTTTACATAAATGTTCTGCTTTTTATTTCCTACCCACTCAAATCCAACTTATATTATGATACAAAAATTTCATCTAGATAGTTTAACCCCCAATAATAATTATATCCCGGTTTTACTTTTTTTTTTTTTTTTTTTAAGCAAAAAGAGCCTAATAGTATAGTAGCTTAACTCAGCATGTGGAAACATCCTGTCTAGGTTCAAATTCTAGTTCCGGCAGTTAGTAGTTGTATAACCTTTCACAGTATACTTATCCACTTTGTCTCAGTTCCTTTATATGGCTATGTTTTAGGTATTCTGGGGTTAAATGAGATAGTATTTGTAAAACTCTTAATTGTATATATTATACATTATCTTGTCACACATTAGTCTTTGGTGGCAAAATGTATTTTAAATGTATTCAAATACAACTTTTGAGAATTAAGAAATAGAAATTTTTATCATCTGTATTCTGATTTCAAAACAGAAAGAAGAAAAATATCAGAAAATTTTCTGACAAAAGTTGAATCATGAAATTTAAATTGTAAGGGACCTTTGTGCAGTTTTTCATTTTATACTGAAAGAAGCCAAGACAGTAGAGACTAAATGACAGTCACATATATATTAATGTCAGGGCTAGAAATAAGTTCCTGAGAATCGCCTGATTCCCAGTCTAGTGGCATTTCTATTAAATGAGGGTGACTTTTAGTTATCAGTGAAGAACTGAAAATCTAACTCTTTCAGCTTTCCATCCTGGACTATGCCTATGTATTACTCTGGCCCTATACCCCATTCTTATTTCTCTTTTTTAATTTTTTTTTTAACATAGAATAACTGGAGTGTAGGCCAGAGATCAGGTGGGTAAGAGGAGTCATCAAATACAGAGTGGGGATTAGAACAGGCAAAGTTAAAAAAATACATTGCTAAGGGAAGCAGCTGGTGAGACAGAGAGGTCTGCTGTGGCATTTGTGGGTGAACTAGCTGGCCAGGGATCCAACATAGCCTATAGCATGAAAGTGCTGAGATTTAACCCTTAGGGCACTAGGGAGGCCCTACTTCCCTAATTTTTTTAAAGGAAGAATTCTCTTATCTTTATTCAAGGCTAATATTTCCACTTATAATCTTTTTTTTTTAAGATTTATTTGTTTATTTATATAGAACTAGGGTACAGGCCAGAGATGCGGAGGGTGAGAGGAGCCACCAGAGACAGAGTGGGGAGCAGAACAGGCAGATCAACAAAGTACACTGCTGAGGAGAGGCCAGGTCAGGAGGCCTTGTGGATCTCCTCCCATGCAGACGGGATGGAACTCATGCGGAAGTGGCTTAAGCTTCTTTGTGCTGTGCTTTAACCCGCTGAGCCACCAGGGAGGGCCCTCCATTTATAATCTTAATCTTATCAATCCTGTCTCCCCTGGAGCTATAGGAGACCAATTATCTCCCTCTTCTTTCCTTTTATTTTCGATTTTTGTTCCCTGTTAACCTCTTTTTCTTCAGTATTTAAATAAGTGCAAATGTCTTCCTCCAAGTTCCCAGTTAATTAGTCATGACCTTTTCTTCAGTTGTAAGTAAGATTGTCTCAGGTAAAAGGAAAAGTCCAGACATATAGATGACTTTAATCCATGTAGATCTAGACACACGATGATTCCATCATGCCATCATGCCACTAGCTTTCTCTCAATCTTTCAGATATGCCTAGTGATAATTGTTATTATTTTTTAAATTGATTTTCTCACAAAACAGGTAACTTCTAACTCCCATCTTTGCAGTTTAACATTCTCAGTAGGAAAATGCAGTGTTCCACTGATTCAAAAAGATACCTGCACCCCCATGTTTATTGCTGCTTTATTCACAATTGGAAAGACATGGAAACAGCCCAAATGCCCAAAAATGGATGGCAGGATTAAAAAGATGTGGTGTGTATACACAATGGAATATTATTCTAAGGTAAAACAGCATACACCATTGGTAAAGGTCCTTGCTAAGGGACGTGGGATATCAAAAAGAAGGGGGGCGAATTTCATATGAGAATGGATTGATTTCATCTTTACTATGAGAGTAAAACAATGAGTTTCTTAGAAAGGACATGTTTACAGATAAACCTGTAACTGGATGATACCGTCCACAAACGCTATTCTTGTAGGTCGAAAAGAGAGAAACAATTATTACTTTTTTTTTTCCCAGTTAAAGTGACTTTATAGTGAAGATGACTTTTAACCTCTCTGTAAAGAGAAGCAACATTACAATTATAGTATACATATTACATTATTATTGTACCTAGGTATACAGATTAAGTACAGATATATACATTTTATATATCTCTATATATACGTATTTAGTTCTGAGTTATTAAAATGATATACAATTTTCTTCATGGACACAATCTATATTAATATGAATTTTTTTCATATTTCTTTTTTTAATTTCATAATAGTTTATTTTTACATATTTTTGTGCATTTTTCCATCTCAGTTGCAATCCCCTTGGGTTTCCCATCACCAAAGCACCCATATGCCATCACTATAGTCCAGTGCATTTCCCTCCCCCCACTGTTTTTGATCCCATTCCCCACTCCACCCCAACAAAACGTCTCTGTTATATAGCTATTCATCATTATCATTATTTTCTTGCCTGTTCTGTTATATTCCTGCTATGAGAGAAAGCATCCAGTATTTTTCCTTTTCTTTCTGGCTTATTTCACTAAGCATGATCTTTTCCAGCTCCATCCATGTTGCTGCAAAAGACATGTGTTTCTTTTTTTCAGTTGCTGAGTAATATTCCACTGTATATATGTACCACATCTTTTTAATCCAGTCATCCATTTTTGGGCATTTGGGCTGTTTCCATGTCTTTCCAGTTGTGAATAAGGCAGCACAATTATTGCTCCTTTGACTAGGGGAAGGTCAAAAGTCTAACAAAAAGCCAAGAGATTCTCCTCAGCTTCTAGAGCCTTCATTTCTCTTAACTCAAAATAATGTGCATTCTTCAAGTAATGGTAACAGTATCTTCCCAACACCCAGAGGATCTCAACTGATAATACTTCCACAAACCAAGTTTATACCTGTAGAAAAGCCTACTCTGGAAATATTGAGAGAAAGCTATCTGACCCTTTTGGAGAGAATGATCCCACGTAAACAAAACACAATCACTAGATTATTTATCTCACTTTCCCATCAAAACAAAAATTCTTGAAAGAGCAATTACTACTCATTGTGTTTGTTTTTATAGCTCCCTAGTCACTCTTCATTGACTAAAATTTGGGCTCATCATCTCTCCTTTGAAACTGTTATTGCTCAGGCCATTTCAGAGTAACCTCTAAAGAAATGGATTCAGTGAATTCTTCTCACTTTTTTTTTTTTTTAATCTTTGAAGTATTTGACATGTCTGGTTGTTGAAAATCTTTCCTTTGGTGTTAGTTACCGTTCTGTTCTTTTCTCCTACTACTTCTTGAACTGCTTTAGGCTGTTTTTTCTATTGAATTTGTAAGAGGATTTTTTGTTATTATTTAAAAATTTTTTGCTTCTTTGTTATTCTTACTTTAAACATTTAAAGTTAGTATCACCTGACCCCATGCCTTTAATTACTAACTATATCTTGATGATTTCTAAATATGTATCTCCCATCAGGATCTTGCTATCTAACCCAAGACCCAACTGTACCATACATCTATTGATATTTGGCTTTATTTTTATTGACTTTAACAAGTAAGATGACATATTCATCATCAGATGTCAGCATCTGATGTCTTTCTAACTTTCTATATCTCATTCTGTTTCTTTTATTTTTTTAAATTTTTTTAAAAAGATTTATTTATTTATTCACACAGACTGGGGTACAGGCCAGAGATGCGGAGGGTGAGAGGATTCACCAGAAACAGAGTGGGGAGCAGAACAGGCAGATCAACGAAGTACACTGCTGAGGGGAGCAGTAGGTGGGTCAGGAGAGGTCTGCCGTGCCATGTGGATCTCCTCCAGGGCAGGCGGGGATCGAACTCATGCAGAAGTGGCTTAAGCTTCTTCGTGCTGTGCTTTAACCCGCTGCGCCACCAGGGAGGGCCCTGTTTCTTTTTTTTTTTTTAACTTAGCTCAGTGTTGAACCCTGTTCTTTTCCAAGCTTCAAAAGCAGTAAAACAGTAATCTTATGTATCTTACATCACATGTAATTAATCACTAAGTCCCATCGATTTTGCCTTGTAAACATCTCTCAGATCTATTCTTTCTTTTCTCTCTTCTGATACTTAGCTAAAGCAGTCATTATCTGTCTTTTACTATACTAGCTTATTTTTTTTTTTCTTCCAGTCTCATCGTTCCTCTCTCTGTAAACTATTTTGAGTGATCTAACATGCGTATGTGACCATGTAAACTCTTGTTAAAACATCCCCAATAGACCCTCCCTGGTGACACAGCAGGTTAGGACACAGCACTGCTTCAATGAAAGTTCGATGCCACCCGCCCCGGAGGTGATCCACATAGTGTGGCAGACCTCTCCTGACCAGCCTACTGCTCCCTTCTTCAGTGTACTTCGTTGATCTGCCTGTTCTGCTCCCCACTTGTCTCTGGTGAATCCTCTCACCACCCCTGCGCCTCTGGCTTGTACCCTATTTCTGTATGCATAAATAAAAAAAAAATCTCCAGTAGTTATCCTTTGCTGTAAAAAGAAAGAGTGAACTCTTAACATGGCAAACAAGATTCAACATGATGTGGCACTTTATTCCCTGTGCAGTCTTAATGGGCTCTGTCTTCTATTTGGTTCCTCAGACATCCTGAAAACGTATAGTTCTTCAAACATTCTTTGGTCTCGCATACTGTTGTGCCTTTCACATGTGTTTCTCTATGTAATATCTTGCCAAGCGCTCCCTGGTGGCACAACCATTTAAAGCACAGTACTGCAAGCTAGGCGCAGCTGCCTTCAGCGTGAGTTGGATCCCAGCCAGGGAGCTGACCCCTATGGCACAGCAGACCTCCTGTCTCTCCCACTGCTCCCCTCTTCAGTGTACTTCATCTGTCTACCTGTTCTGCTCCCCACTCTGTCTCTGGTGAGTCCCCTCACCGCCCCTGCACCTCTGCCTGTACCCCAGTTCTGTATGCATAAATAAATCTTTAAAAAAAAAAAAACAACTAGCTTGCCTTCCTCTCTTTCCTTGCTCCACAGTCACAGCACTGTCAAGCTTATAATTCCTACCACCATTTCTTCATATGTTACCTCTTAGAAGTTTCAGCTCTGACTTCTGTTGTATGTCCACTAACCCATGCATTTTGGATTTACTTTGTGTTTCAGTGCATATCATATTGTCTATGTATAGTCATGTAAAAGCAAAATAATGTCAGCTGGAATTAAGTATAAAGAAAGACTGGGATAGGCAAAGAAGACTGTATTTAAAGTAAAGGAACTCAGCATTATACTGGAATAAGCTTGTACTGACTGGCTTGTGAGAAATTATTAAATTGGGGATGTCTTTCAGCCATTATCAAAAGTTTAATTATATGAATAGTTACATTAAAAACAAAATCACAAATACTCAAAACTAGTCATTTCCTGATTGTCCTAGTAGATTTTACTGTTATCTCTGTTTTATGTTTGTAGCCATATACTATATATGGTGGAATGACGTGTATTAGGGTGGAATGCCTTTAGTCTCAACTTTGCTTTCAGTACTGTCACTTTAGTAGCTTGAAATGATTCACGATGGGAATATTGACATTATAGAAATCAGGAAACACTGCAAACTAAGGCTTGATTTACTGTCTAAAGTGATGGAGAAGAGGTTAATAGTGCAGATTAAATTTAACTGTGTATTCTGGCTGTTTTTAATACCTTGTGAGTTACATGAGAATTAGAATGTTCTTCTAACATTTGAAAACTAGCACCAAATTCATCAAGTTGCTTATGTTAATGGATAAATGAGTGATGTTTCAACATATGTATTTGTTGTTTTACTTCATACTTGTTAAAGTCAACAGAAATATCAAACAACTTTCGGGTGAGGACTGCATTCATTTGTCAGCTTCAGTCATAGGTTGACTACAGATAGGAGAGCCTGATAAAAATCAGTGAAAACATTTAGTGAAAATCAGATAATTGAAATTTACGGCTAAGCACATTTTTATTAGTATTTGTAAATTATGTTCTACGTATCCTTTACATATAATAAATACATGTGATAAATATAAAAATTCATGTATGTATGTATTTACATTCAGTTTCTAGAGAAGCAGGTACTAAATAGTTATTATACTATAGGAAAAGTGTGTAACGGCATTTAGTCCCTTACTCATCTTATGAGATGGCTACTATTATAATTCCCATTTTCAGAAGAGAAAACTAGGCTCAGAGATTTTAAATTAGTTGAAAAGATCATACAACTAGTAAATGAGAGAGGTGGAATCTTCATCCAGGTCATGTCTCTAAGCCCAGCAAAAAGAATGGGTAACACCTGAGGATCTTTTAGCTAGAGAAAAATTAAGGTCTGTTTTGAACAAATGTATTTTATAACAAATACTTCCAATAAACTGGAGGCAGCAAGATCATTTTATAGACTACTACATCTAATCTTGGAGTATTGTTATTTTCATATGAGAATTAAGAGGGGGAATTAACTCTAAAAGAATCCACTAAAAATTAAAAATAGTTCAATTATCAGTATATGTATGTAGCACAGTAAATAGAATACAGTATGCAAATAAAATACAGCATTTAGAAAGGTTAGATTTGTTACAGGGAAGGGAGAGGGGCAAGCCAGAAGCCCTAAACCTGTTCTAAATAGGTTCTGCTATCTGCCTCCTTAAGGCAAAACATACTCTAGTGCATAAGACCTTTAATGGAAAGAAACTTTAATTCAGTTAGTGTACAACAAAGACTATAGGTTCTAAATCAAGCGCCCTAAGTTACCCATTCCCTTCTGGGTAAATGTCCAGCCAAACAGGGTTGGCCCAAAGCAGGGCCACCGAGGCCTGAAGTCTAATGCACGTTCCAGAGGGACCCATAGAAAAGGGTTAGAGGCAGCCAGACAAGTCTGGAAAGAAAAGAGTAAAATCAAAATCAAGATAAAAGCTGCCATTGTTAGCTTCCCCAAGGATCTCTCACCCACATCTAGTTCAACCTGTTCAGGACCTAAAAAGCAAGTGTAACTTCTTCACCTGTTTCTACTCCATGTGCCTCCTCCAGATCTTCTTGCTCTCCATTTGTATTCCTTCCTTTTCCAGTCTCCTGCAGCTTCTTCTCCTGCCTTCTCAACTCTACACTTCCTTGGTTAGGGCAGGGAACCTGGAACCTCCCCTTTCTCTGGGACCACCCTGATACAGATTCAGTACTTTTGAAAACTACTTAAGACCCCTGTTTAGTAATTGATGTATTTGATATATCCATTGATAGTGATGCTTATGGTTTAAAAATTGGCTTTTATATATTTATATATATATATATATACACACACGACAGATTTATCTAGATGGAACTATTCTACAACATCAAATGAGAAAGCCCCACAAACAGTGCTCTTCAACAGAAATCCTGATGTTTCTGGAAACCAGAATTTGACAGATGTGGATAAAAGCAAGCCTCCATTTTCACAAGTTTTGAATGTGAACTTTGAACTGGGAAATGAAGTTTGGGAAGATTTTGATGATGAAAATTTAATAGAAGTTACTAACTTTTCAGCTGATACTGAGATGATAAACTCATCAGGTAAAAATTGCATTTTGACATAAAACAACTTCAAAAATTCTGTTAATACCTTTCAGTTTAGTTTCTGGGACTAGTTTTTTTTTTGCCTTCTTTGTGTGTTTGGTTAATTGATCTTGGTTTGTTAAGTTTATGAGTTTTAATAAAGCTGAAAAGGTGACCTTCACAAATGGCATTTCCTTCCCCTAAGGGCAGAGGTTAGGATTATTCTATGATGATGCTATAACAAATTAGTCTTTTCTGTTCTATTGCTCCCCTATCATCTTAAAAAACCCCATTCAAATTCAGATTGTCCTTAGTTGAATTACCCCTTATAAAATAGACTATCAAGCTCCATTCTAAGATGACAAATGGTCTGCTAATGATTGTAAAAGACAAAAATATTCCATCTTAAAAAAAAATTATCTGTTGGCTAAAAAAATAAAAGGTATCTTATTTCTAGTATAGAAATATTGACTTTTCAGATATAAATAAATGAATAGGAAAGTGTTGTTTTCTCCAACATTGGACAATTGTATTTAAGTCATATATAACTCAAAAAATTGAAAATAATAATTGGCACTTGGTTCTTTAAATTACTAACAAATTTAATCTGCTTCACTAAAATAGAGAAAAGAAAATCATGCTAAGTATATGATAGGATAGTGAAATTGAGACACTCTCTCCCGTGATCCCATGAAGGTTGAAAGAAGGAAATTAGTCCCTTAGAATTACAGTGCCTCTTCACGGGTGAATTGGTGATGGGAGGCTCATGGAGATTACAACCAAGATGGAAAACTGCACAAAATGAAGAATGATGTTAAAAAAGAAAAAATTACAGTGCCTCTTAATGTAATCCACCCTGGTGCTTTTTATTTTATTCTTCCCCCCACACCCCAAATACTTTTTAAAACAAGAAAAACTGAACTTGAAATATTTTGTCAGGTCCCTAAAAATTACCTGGAGAGCTAGTCTGCCTACAAAGAAATAGGGTTTGATCACTTCTATAAGATAAACCAGAGAAATGTCATGACAGTGGGGCCAGTGGTAGTTCCTTTTATCACTGGACAATAGCAGTTCCTAGCTTAGGTTAAAAGTCATTTTGTACTACAAGTTTAGAGGCAATTTACCAATTTGTTCAGGTAGTTTAAAATCTTATGAAGGCGTATCTTTGGTACTTGGAAAATCTATCTCAATAAATGCCATTTTCTGAGGATAGAGAACTTTAAATGAGCTTTATTACATGCACACTATTGGAAAATATTGAATGAATTTGGGATTGATCATTTACATAATGATAAATAATTGTAGTATAGAGACCTTTTAATATAGTAACTTAATAAACCATATGTTCTATAGTTTTGCTCTTTTAGTTTTGCTTCTTTAGTTCTCTATGCGAATTGAATTTAATTATTGTAAGGAATTATCCATTCCTTCCTTAACCAGGTCATATCTGTTTAAACGAGCCCTTGTAGAACCTGTGAAAAGTTCTGCTTAATTGTTTCCTTGCATTTTATTTCAAAATGTGATCTCTTTGCCCAGGATTCGGAGACATGTCGAATTCAAGTACCAGGGGAAGTAAGCTATCCTTCCAACAGTCAAAGAGCAAATTCCAGAGAGAAATGTCAAACAGGCAAGTTTTAGAACTTTGATTTGGGGTACTTACACCTTTATATCTGCCTGACATGTGTTGGAGATACGGATCAAGTCATTAGCTGTAAGAGAAGTTGTATGGTATTAACCAACCGAAACCCTTTTAACCTTAAAGCTGTGTTTCTCAAAGTGCTGTTGTCAGACCACCAGCATCAAAATTACGTAGGGGTACATATTTAAAATGCACCTTCCTGGGCTTAACACCACACTCACTGAATTATGCTCACTATAACTGAAGCCTAGGAATCTTACATTTTTCTCAGGACTTGAACACTTGAGTAGGACTTTGACAGGTATAAAAGATGAGGACTTCCAAGAAGAAAGAAAAATATTCAAAGGAATAAAGCTAAAAGACCTACCATGCTTAAGTGTGATCCATGTGGCCACACTTTTAAGGTTGAAATTGCTGATACCTGATTGTAAAAGGCCTTGAATTCCATTAAAGACATCTGTGTTGTTTCAGGAGCTACAGACTCATATTGCCATCAGAATTTGGTGTGTCAAGATCAACTACAGTGTGCGTAGGAGAAAGGGAGCAATGACTACTCAGTTGAAACCAGTTGTACAGGAAATTTAAGTATAGTGTCAGATGTTCTGATTTTCCAAATAAAGAATCTAAAATTTTATGACATCACCTAACTTTGAAATTTTGACAACTAATTTTTATTCTCAAGTATTTAGGAGACTTGTTTTTCTTTTTATTGACATAATATAACATTAGTTTATAATAGGTTTCAGGTATATGTATTTATTTGTCTCAGTGTGGTATATTTCATATCGTACCTACCAACAAAAGAGCAGTTATCATCCACCATCACTATCATTCTCTTCTCAATCTTCTTCTTCCCTTCTGATAACTATCATTTTGTTGTCAGAATCTAGGAGTTTGTTTTGTTTTGTTATGTTTGATTGGTTGCTTTTGCTTTTCTTTATATCCTACAAATGAGTGAAGTCATACAGTCTACTTGTTTTTGAGTTACTGCACTTAGCTTAATTACCTCAATGTCCATCCATGCTATCAAAAATGGCTGAGTAGTATTTCGTTGTGTACACACACACACACACACACACGACATCTTAAATCTTAATCCATTCATCTATTGTTGGGCACTTAGGTTCTTTCTGAATCTTGAATTATAAATAGTGTTGCCATGAACATAGGCATGTATACCTTTTCAAATTTGTATTTTCATGGTCTTTGGGTAAATTTGCAGAAGTAAGATTACTGGATTATGTGATAGTTCTTTTTTAAATTTTTGAGGAATTTCCATAATATTCTTCAAAGAGTCTATACCAATTCCCACCTATGGTACCCAAAGGTTTCTTTTCCTCCTTGTTCTCACCAACACTTTTTTTTAAGATTTATTTTTTATTTTTGCATACAGAACTGGGGTATAGGCCAGAGGTGCAGGTGCAGTGAGCGACAGAGTGGAGAGCAGAACAGGCCGACTGACCAATTATGCAGCTGAGGGGAGCAGTGGGCAGGGCAGGAAAGGTCTGCCACACCATGTGGGTCACCTCTGGAGCAGGGATCGAACTCATGCTGAAGTGGCTGTAGCTTCTCAGTGCTGTGCTTTAACCCCCTGCGCCACCAGGGAGGGCCCTCACCAACACTTTTTAAAAGTTGTTTTTTATTCTAATTCTTTGTTGTATTTTTATTGAAATAAAGGTTACTTTATAACATTCCATATAATTTGGCGGTGTAGGTTCACACCTCTACAGATTTATAATACCATGTCTACCACCAAAGCACCCATAATTCTCCATCATATTCCATTGTATTTTTTACTCCCCTTCTGCTCTGGTAGCTTCAGTCTACCCTTTGTTTTGAAGTTTGTTTTGGTTTAGTTTTGTTTGTTTGTCTTGTTTGTCTATTTGCCTCTATATTTCACATATATGTTAAATTATCTGGTATTTCAGATGGTTTCACTCATAGCAGGAATATAACAGACCAGGTGAGAAAATAACAATAACAATGAACAGCTATATACCAGAGACATTTTCTGGGGTGGGGTGGGGAATGGGATCAAATAACAGTGGGGGGAAGAAATGCACTGGACTGTGGTGATGGCACATGGGTGATTTGGTGATCGGAAGCCCATGGGGATTGCAACTGAGATGGAAAAAGGTACAAAATGATGTAAAAATAAACATATTATTTTTTAAAAATTATATGGTATTTGTCTTTCTCCTTCTGACTTATTTTGTTTAGCATAACCCTTTCCAATTCCATCCATGTTCTTTTTTTTTAAATAAAGATTTATTTATTTAACCATACAGAACTGGGGTACAGGCCCGAGATGTGGAGGGTGAGAGGATTCACCCAAGAGAGAGTGGGGAGCAGAACAGGCAGATCGACGAAGTACACTGCTGAGGGGAGCAGCGGGCGGGTCAGGAGAGGTCTGCCACGCCATGTGGTCACCTCCGGGGCAGGCGGGGATCGAACCCATGCAGAAGTGGCTTAAGCTTCTTAGTGCAGTGCTTTAACCCACTGCGCCACCTGGGAGGGCCATCCATCCATGTTCTTTTTTATCAGAATCGTTTTGGCTATTGAAGTCTTTTTGTATTTTCATAAAAATTTTAGGATTTCTTTTTTTTTTCTCTTCAGTGAAGAATTGGGATATCGATAGGGATTGTGTTGAATCAGTGTATCACTTTAGGTGAAGTGGCCATTATGACAATATTGATTCTTTTGATCCATGAGCATGGATTATTGTCCCATTTTTTTGTGTGTCTTCACTTCTTTCAGTATTGTATAACGGCTTTCATGCCTTGCTTAAATTTATCTCTATATTTAATTCTTTTTGCCAGAATCATAAATGGCATTGTTTTCATCATTTCTCTTTCTTTTACTTCATTATTTTGCATGAGATTTAACAAATGACAACATATGATAATTAAGAAAGAGGAAAGCATAAATGATGAATAGATAGAGATGTTATTTTAAAATATGGGAAACATACAAAATTTGGAAAAGAAAGCAATAACGATGTTAGAATGTTCAACTTGGAATATCTTTGCAAAAATGAAAAATACATTTGGATATTGGTCTTGAATCAAGGTAAAAAAATGATAGCCATAGCCAAAACTTTTCCAAAGAGAATGCTAACAACTTTTTACTTTAGGGTCTAGTTTTCTACTTAAGGATTATTTATTTCTCCTGCTTTAAAAAAAATACTAATTTTGTGATTTCTTGGTATTTTTATTATTATTTAGTCATCTTACAAACTATTAAATAACCTTATCACAAAATCGGATTCCAGAGAATTCCAGGGCTGAAGCAGACTACATTTATGTTTCACTTAGTCTTCCTACCATTAGATCTTAAAATTATCTCCTAATGTCATTGACAAATTATCAGACCATTTCTGCAAAGACAAATTCCAGTGACCAAGAGCTCATTCATTCCAAAATGCTTTTTTTGTTAGTATCTCTTAAATTATTCAATCTCTTTTAAAAATATTTGCCTAAAAGTTGCCTTTATAATTTCCATTTGTTGGTCTGTGATTCATACTGAATAAACAATCAAAATGGAATAAAGGGACATAGAGAAAATAGTTCAATCACAAGCAGGAAGATAAGGCAGTGAACAATTTAGTGTACTACACATTTAGGAAATTACAAATAATTTTGGAAGAGAAGTAACTACCAGAGGTGGTCACACTTAGAAATGACCAACAGACATTAGGTTGTTATAAAAGTGAATTCTTTAAAAAAGCCTCTGAGAAACAGAGGCCAGAAGTTTCCACTGAGAAGATCTGTGGGTGTGAGGGTCTAGACTGGAAAGGTGACTTACTTTTTTTATTATACCCTTTTTACTATGTTAATTCCTTGCCACTAATAAAAGACAAAATGATTCAATCTTATCGATATATGTGATTCTCCTCCACTTCTGTCCCATGTGCTGATTGTTCCTTGTATGGTTATGACATTTTAATCTCTAAGTGTCAGCTTAAATTATCAGAGATGATCTCATGACCATCTTTTTAAAGTCCATTTTTGCTCCACAGTGTTTTTCCTATAATATTGCCCATTAATTTCCCTTATACCACTTAATGATCTATAGTTATGTATATAGCTGTTTATTCATTATCTTCTTCTCTACCAGATGATAATGACCTGAGCATTTGTTTGCCACCTTTCACCCAACACCTGTACAATGTCTGGCATATAATAGTGAATAATATATAAATTTTGTTTAATGAATGCATTTCGTACAGAAGATTAAAGGTGAATTTTAGTGTAAGAAGTTTATTAGAGATGTCTTTCTACAGTGAGTCCAAAATGGGAAAAGTAGATAAAAAGTTAAGGAAGTGAGATTTAGATAAGATTTACAGACTGCAAAGTGATAGATACCTAAGCATAGGTTCAATTTTAAAGTAAGTTGTTGAATGACTATTTTTGTAGGCCCTTAAAAGTAATATTCTTACCTAATTTAGAATACATGAATTGTTTTCTGATGTAAAGGAGATATAACATACCACGAGTCTAAGAAATTGTATCAGTTCTTTTGAAGATAAATGTGATGCACTTTAGTCATAGTCTTCGAAGAATCACTACTGATCTAAATTAGAATAGTTTCATATTTTACAAATAATTAATTTTTCACTTTTTAGTTTTGTTTCATCACATGAGGAGCCAGATACTTATTTTTCAAATTCTGCTATGTCCAAGTTTGGTAGATCCTCCATGATGAAATTACCTCAACAAAGTGGAAATGCAAATATTGTAAGAAAAAGAACTTTTTTTTTCTTTTAAATTCTACCCAAATAGTTAAACTTTCTATGACTGTTATTTTTTTAACCACAAAATATAGGTCCATTTCCAAGAAAGAAAACAACAAAGCCTGTCACCAGAGATTGAAAGGTTGTGCTTTACTCATGCTGTAAAAACACCAAATTCCTCGAAACTTGCTAAGAATGTGGATTTCTTTATCAAAAATGATGAGAAAAAAGAAATTGATTTTAGGTAAGTTCTTTTTAAAGTATTTAAAGCTTTTGGCCCTCCCTGGTGATACAAAGGATTAAGGATCAGCATTATGAAGCTTTAGGCAGCCACTGTGGCATGAGTTTGATCCCCGGCCAGGTAGTTCATCCACATGGAGCAACAGACCTCTCCTGTCTCACCTGCTGCTCCCCTTAGCTGTATATTTCAGCAAATCTTCCTATTCGGCTCCCCACTGTCTCTGGTGAATCCTCTCACCACACTCCTCCTCCTGACACACATACACACACTTCTGGACTATACCCAGTTCTTACATGCATAAATAAATAAATCTTTAAAAACAATAATAATGTATTTAAAGATTTTACCAATAAAATCTTTCTACAAAGACATTCAACACTCCTTTTATCTAGCTTCATGGTAAAGATTAGAACCTAAATATCTTATTTGCTAAACACATTGAAATTTCTGAACACTGTAAATACCTTCACATAATTCACAATAGCAAGTATATGGTTGATGCAATTAAAACACTGTGTTGGTAGACTTGTTTCACTTATTTGTATACAATATATTGATACTAAGAAGTATATTGTATCAGTTGAGAAATCTATATGAGATCAATTAAATTTTCACAATTTCAGGTTGTATTTTAACCACTGAGTTCTTTCACAGTTCTTCAAGTTCAGTGAAAAAAAAATAAGGTTAGGTCAAATCAGTGCTTCTATTGCTGGTCATTTTAATGAGTAACTGTAGCAGTATCCTTTTCCCTCTTGAAGAGTCAAAGTTCATAGACCTGTTATTCATGCTTCCTTTAAATTACATTACTATCTAATATTTTTAAAGAAATAACCAAGAGATATTTTTTCCCAGAGACTTTCAGTGAGCTTATAGATAATACTGATGCTCACTTGATATGTTGACCTCTCAGTAATCTTCACATTTACCCACTTTGTATGTGTTACTACATCATATTTATTTTCTATATTTTATATTCTATATTTTAAAATAATATGTTATAAAAACAGTTATTTTGATATTTACTTTTTCTTCCCAGTAGGTATCATCCTGATGATGAAGCTGATGAAATAAAGTCTTTTCTAGGAATATTTGATGGTATTTTCTAAAACAAATCCCAAAGAAATGTCTCCTGTGTGAATAAGACAAAGCATAAAGAGACTTAGTTATAAAACATGCTTTTTTATTTTTTTAAATTAACATTTTTTTAGATTTCTCATGAATATGATCAGTTTTGTCAACTTTCCCCATTATGTTGTCATTTTGTGAAAAGTACATTTAATAGTGCTTTGCTTCAGTGAGATGATAATTAACTTGTACTTAAAAATAATATTTGGCTATTAACTAGATATTGATAGGAACTGATTTAAAATTTCATTCATAAATTTTCTTAAGAAAGGTATTCTGTGAAAGCAAAATAATGCTATACCAGTAAATCCATGTATTGTATGAATTATTAACCATACTTTAACTAAAGATTTTTAAGAATCCAGTTCTGAACCTGTTATGTAATTTAAACAATAATAAATGAAATGTTAATCAACATATATTATTGTTTTCCTTTAGCTTGACTTTTGGTGTGGTGAATTCTAAAACTTTGTTATATGTACTGTAACAGAATCTACATTATTTTCCAATGAATTATATCTTAGATATGTTTATTAATAAGTAACATGTAGGTGCTCTAAGCAATGTATATTTAATTTATTTAGATATGCAGTGTGAGGCTCATTTTAAAAATTTTAGGGAATGTGCTTTTTTTAAATGAAAGCCTTAAAAACAAGAGAAGTAAAGAAGAGAAACTTTCAGAGATTGTTTTGTTCTTATTAGTAAACATTTATGAGGTGGTGTGGTATTTATTATACTTAGATGAAAAGCTTTAAAAAAAACAAAAAACTAAGAGACTGTGTTGAAAAATAAGCACAACCAGTTCCTTTATTTTTAGTCATCTTTACAATTGATATGTTTCTGTACCTGAATCAGTCATGCTGCAACCTTTAAAGGTTATTAAGCTCTATTAAGATGAAAAATTGGTGTACTACAATCTGCATACATAGACTTTGACAGGAAAGAAATAGCAATTTAATTCAACAAGACTTATTGCGATATGCTAAGTGAAAAGCACTATACTTGGTGCTGCAAAGGATGTAAAAGATGAAAACACTGTTTTGATCTCATTGAACTTAACTTTACATTCTGGTACAGAAATTAAGACAAATAATAAGGCAGTAATGTAGAATACTTTAGAGAAGTGGTTCTCAAGTTCCAGTGTGCATTTGAATCATGTAGAGAGTTTATTTGAAAACAAATTACTGGGCACCCCACCCAGCAGGTTGACTCAGTAGGTTTGAAGTGGAGCCTGAGAATTTGCATTTCTTAACAAGTTCCTGAGTGTTACTGCTGCTTCTGTTGCTAGAAACCATATTTTGAGCATAATTGAAATAGACATATAAAGAGTTAGGAGGAAGGGCCTTTCTGGAAGCATAGGGATTAAAGTGCTTGTTGCCGACCATGCCCAGCCACTGAGGCGTGAATTCAATTCCTGGCCAGGGAGCTACCCAACATGGAGCAGCAGACCTGTCCTGTTTCACCCACTGCTTTTCTCAGCAGTGTATTTCAGTTGATCTGCATGTTCTGCTCCCCACTCTGTCTCTGGTGAATCCTCTCCTCCCTCCATACCTCTGTCCTATATTGCAGTTCTTGTATGCATAAATAAATAAAATAAATCCAAAATATAAAGAGCTATGGTGATACATAGAAAGAATAATTAATCTTGGTCATTAGTTCAGAGAAATTTTTATGGGAAGTTGAAATTTGAATTGAGTCTTGACTTGAAAAATGAATGAGGTTTTAATGAACAAATATGCGAGAGAAGGGCATTGTAGGTAGAGGGGATAATTTGAACTCCAAAGGAGGGAATTATCTATTTGGAGGAAAATTAATAGATAATTTTAAACATAGATTATTATAGGATGTGTTTAAAGTGTATCTTAAGACAAAAAGTATAGAACTTTAGATACTAAGAAACCTGAAGTTTACACAGTAGATTAATGTTGCCCAAACTAGTCTGATCATAAGAATCATCTAGATGATATATTAAATATGCAGATTCCTAAAATTCATCTAAGAGGTACTTGTTCAGAATCTCCACTGGAGGAGACGGGAACCTCTATAGTTCTAAGTAGCATTACAGCTCATTCTTTATAATCAAGCCAGTTTTGTAAATACTTGGGTAGAGAAAGATTCACTTCCTTAGCAATAAAAGTGAGTGACAAATTGACATTGTTCTAGAGATGTCTTACTTTGTGTAAGTATTTACCTGGATAATTATGTGTACATTAAACCTATTACATATAGTAACCATTTACTGGAGACCAGTCACTTAGAGTTCTTTCCATAAAGCAAATAATGACCCTAAGTTTTCCTATTTTGTAAATTAGGTTTTAAATATATAGGGTTTATTTATTCCTATTGACTGAACCACATAGTTGAGTGTTTCAGAAAAAGAATCTTTATTGGGTTAAGTTTTCAGAAGTTTTTCTCTTGGAAATGTCCATCAGCGGCATTTTTGTCACTTGTAACAATGGCATAATGATACTAGCTCATAGTTGTGGCATGAGAATTTAATAACTAACAGTACAGGAAACTCTTAGTTTAGGAATATGCATAAGTAAGTGCTCACTAAATGATAACTGTACTTTCTAAAAGGGTCTTTAACAGCACTTAAATAACCCATTAGAAGGAATGAATAATACATTATTTTTATTTGTATTATCTGAGTTGTATTACATAGAATAGAATTTGGCAAATGAACTTTTTTGACTTTCTATGTATGGATCATCCATTAAAATATTTTATCCTAGACCTCCCTCCACCATCTACTTCCTCATGCTTTCTGACAGAGTTCCCCTACCCCCATGCCCTCTTTACTAACACTCTTAATTCGTTTATAGTCGGAGCATACAAATCTATCTTAATGTTACCTTATAAAATGTAATTGTAAAATAAATTTTCTCCAAAAGTCAATTTACTAGAGTCATAGAAAGGTTCTTAACCATAACCCTACTTCTAGAAAATACTCTCATTAGGTATAGTGGAGGGTCACCTAGGTGTTACGTGGATAGCATTTACCTATGACATTCTTGATAATGACAGGTATTTGTAAAAGCATGCCTTATTTTGCTACCGTTCTCTTTAATGTGCTTTGCAGATACTGAATTTTTTATAATTTGAAGGTTTTGTGGCAATCCTGCATTGAAAATCTATTGGTGTCATTTTTCCAATAGTATGTGCTCACATCATGTCTCTCTGTCACATGTTGGTAATTCTTACAATATTTCAAACTTTTTCATTATGTTTGATGATATATGATCAGTAATCTTTGAAATTACTACTGTAATTGGTTTGGGACACCACAAACCTTGTCCATATAAGACAGCAAATTTAATTGATAATATTATGTGTGTTCATAATCCTCTTTAAATGGGCCTCTCTCTCAAATCCTTCACCTCTGTTCAGGCCTCCATGTTCTTTGGAATGCAAAAATATTGAAATTGAGTCAATTAGCAACCTACAATGGTTTCTAAGAGTTCAAGTGAAAGGAAAATTCACACATTTCTTTTTAAATCAAAATAGAGAAATAAGATTAGTGAGAAAGGCACATGGAAAGAAACCAAGACAGGCTAAAAACTATGCCTCTTGTACCAAACAGTTGTAAAGGAAAAGTTCTTGAAGGAAATTAGAAGTGCTACGTCAGTAAGTACACAAATGATAAGAAATAAAATAATCTTACGCTGATATAGTTTTAGTGGCCTGGATGAAGATCAAGTCAACCACAACATTCCCTGAAGCCAAAACCTAATCCAGCATAAGGCCTCACTCTATCTGTGAAAGCTGAGAGGTGTGGAAGCTGCAGAAGAAAAGGTTGAAGCTAGCAGAGATTGTTTTACAAAGTTTAAGAATTTATCTCTGTGACATCGAAGTGCAAAGTGAAATAGTGAATGTTAGCTACAATAAGTTATCTAGAAGACTTGGCTAAGTAAGAGAAAGGTGGCTACTAAACGAATTTTCAGCATAGATGAAATGGCATTGTATTGAAAGATAGTGCCTTCTAGGACTTTGATAGCTAGAGAGAAGTCAATCCTTGACTCCAAATGTTTAAATTCTCTTGTTAGGTATAATACAGGGCTCACAGGATGCTTATCAGCTTTTAGCATTTAGGTACTTTTAAATTAAGGGGTGTACATTTTTTTCTTAGATGCGATGTATTTGCACACAATAGGCTCTGGTATGCTTTTATATACACTGAAAAACAAACAAAAAAAATTGTGTAACTTCATTAGAGTATTTGCTTCATTATAGTCTGGAATTAAACCCTCGATATCACTGAGGTACCCCAGTATTTAAGAATTTACCTTTGTGGGAATACAGAAGGCACTGGTGACACACAAGACAGGGCAATGAGCAGTAAGCTGAACTGTTAAGGTACGTAAGTGAACTAAAAATTTCAGTGTGTTTGGGCCCTCCTGGTGGCTCAATGAGTTAAAGTGCCAAGACTGGATCTGCTTTGGGGCGTTGGGGAGGGGGGAGAGTGACCCCATGGGGTGGCAGACCTGACCAGCCTGCTGTTACCCTCAGTGTATTAGTATATTTCAGTACATCTGCCTGCTTCCCACTCTGTCTCTGGTGAATGCTCTCACCCCAGACCTCTAGCCAAATTAATCTTTAAAAACTTTTTTTTCAGTGTAGGTTTTGCAGAACAAAAAAGGAAATCCTCACTTTTCTTTTGGCACTTCGACTCCTCTCTGCCCCTAGTTAAATGCCTTGCAGCTCCAAGTCTCATCTAAAGATGAGAAAGACCTGGGAGCTAGTTTGAAAGTTTCTGGCCTCATTTCATCCGTTCTGAGTGAGAATCTGCATTTTAACAAGATCCCTAGGTGATTTTGTGCACATTAAGGTGTGAAAAGCACTTGTTTAAAGCAGAAAGGAAGGGAAGCAATATCAGAAATTTAAGAGAATCCATTCCAGGAGACAAGTGTAAGAGTAATGATGATTACTTAGTTTTCTTCACATATATTTTCTATTTTAAATGTAACATGGTGATATAGTT